GAAACATGCAGTCTTGCAAGACAGAAAACTGGGTAATAATAACTGTTTCACTACGGCAAAAATTACAGAGAAAGGACCATGGCCCACCCTCACCTGCACCAACAAAAACCAAGAGGCAAGCTTAGACGTCCACCTTTGTGGCACTCAAGTGAGGCTTGTCTCCAACTAGGGCGCTCACAGAGAAGGGAAGGATGAAAATCAGCCCTCTCCATCCATAACTGCCAGGGCAGCGTCAGAGGCATCGTGGTGGGAAACCAGACTTTTATGACTACCCATCAGGGGTAATGAGCAACCCCCTCCCCCTGCCCCACATCGTGGTGTCCGTTAGGACCCAGGGAGGAGCTGGAACTTCCATGTCCAAGCACAAGTAACAAAGAATTCACCAATTTTGGATCTCAATGGAGGCTGAGCAGGGAATGGACCTCTACCCCTTATGTAGCAGTAACCAGGCAGCATCTACACCTTTTCCGACCAGAGCAGAGAGGTCAACCACACAGAGGATTTCATAATCCAGGGCACGTTTATCGCACAGTGGGTTAAGGCACACTAGGGACACAGCCACCCCATATAAGAGGGCAGGCTTGCGTTCTGCCACCTGCACCTCCAGTCCAGCTTCCTAATGCAGCCTGGTTCAGGATGCAGTGCCCACATCCCGTATGGGCACCAGTTCGAGTCTCAGCTGCTCCACTTCTGACCCAGCTCCCTGCTGATGACCTAGGAAAGCAGTAGAAGATATCCCAGGTGTTTGGGTCCCTACACCCACATGGGAGACCCAGAGGAAGCTCCTGGCTTCTGCCTTCTGATCAGCCCAGCTCCACCCGTTGAGGCCATTTGGGGAGTGAACCAGCAGATGGAGGACCTCTCTGTCTGAAACTCTGCCTCTCAAATAAATCTTTCAAAACAAACAAACAAACAAACAACAAAAAATAAATAAATCTGGTTTCAAGAAACAGCTAAAGTAAGAAAACTGTGTGGTGTATGTAGATGGGTACGTGGATAGACGATGAGAAGAGAATAGGGAACTAAGAAATAAAGCAAAGATGTTCAACTTATTTTGACAAAAGTGAAGAGCAAGTCGACAGCAGAAAGGTAGACTTTTTACACTTGATCTCAGTGAAAAGGCCAAGAAGCGATAAAGGTAAGATTTTTAACAAATAGTCCTGGAGCAACAGGCTACCCAGAGGAAAACAATTAAACTCAACCTAAGTCTCACAGCTTGTTTAAAACGGAGCTCAAAATGAATCACAAACTTAAAATAAAATGACAAAATGTCCAGAAAACTATAAAGCAGTAAAGAATGAGGTAGGGGCCGGCACCATGGCTCACTGGGTTAATCCTCTGCCTGCAGCACCGGCATCCTGTATGGGTGCCGGGTTCCAGTCCCGGTTGCTCCTCTTCCAGTCCAGCTCTCTGCAGTGGCCTGGGAGTGCAGTGGAGGATGGCCTAAGTGCTTGGGCCCTGCACCCGCATGGGAGACCAGGAGGAAGCACCTGGCTCCTGGCTTCGGATCGGTGCAGTGCCGGCCGTAGTGGCCATTTGGGGAGTGAACCAACGGAAGGAGGATCTTTCTCTCTGTCTGTCTCACTCACTGTCTATAACTCTACCCGTCAAATAAATTTTAAAAAATAAAAAAGAATGAGGTAAATACTTTAAGACATGTATTTACAAACAACACAGATGACAAAGGACTAGTATCTAGAAAATGTAAAAGACTCTCACAACTGAACAGTAAAATAGCAATCCAGTTAGAAAACACACATTCCACCTAAGAAGTATGCAGTCGGCATATATGCCCATGAAAAGATGTTCCATGTCATTACCCATGAGGGAAATGCAAGTACAAACCACCCTGGGATGTCAGTATAGACCTATCAAATTGGCTCAAATAAAAATCACTTAAAATATGCAATGCTAGCAAGGATGTGGAGAAACTGGATCAACCCTACCTTGCTAATGAGACTATGAAATGGTACAGCTACACGGGCAACCAGCTTGGTAGTCTCTCAACACTAAATTAATAATAAATTAAAGTGCCAGAGGTTTTTATCCCTCAAAAATTAATTCCTACATTCATGTAAAATACTTCATGTCTACAGCAGCTTAATTTTTAATAGGCAAGAACTGGAATCAACCCTGATGGACCTTAGTGGGCAATACCAGACCATCCATCCACGGATGTTAATACAAAGGATGGAACTATGGGTACACACAGTGACCTATAGGAACTATGGGTATGCACAGTGACATATAGAAACTATGGATACACAGTGACCTATAGGAACTATGGATACACACAGGGACCTATAGGAACTATGGGTACACACAGGGACCTACAGGAACTATGGGTACACACGGTGACCTATAGGAACTATGGATATGCACAGTGACCTACAGGAACTATGGGTATGCACAGTGACCTATAGGAACTATGGGTATGCACAGTGACCTATAGGAACTATGGGTATGCACAGTGACCTACAGGAACTATGGGTATGCACAGTGACCTATAGGAACTATAGTTACACACACTGACCTACAGGAACTATGAATACACAGTGACCTATAGGAACTATGGGTACACACGGTGACCTACAGGAACTATGTGTACGCACAGTGGCCTATAGGAATCTCCAGAGACCCATGCTGACTGATAAAACCCAGTCCCTGGGGCACCTACTCTGTGTGACTGCACACAAATGACATTCAGGATGTGACTCAGTCATGGAGCTGTGGGACAGACTGGAGCCTGTCAGAGGAAATGGGTGTGGCTCTACGAGGATGATGTGAAGTCTTGTGAGGTCCAAAACATTCTCTCCCTTGGTTGTGCCCATTGTGGTCTCCTGGCTTTGGAACTGTACTGTAACTCTGAAGAGGCTGGTTCTGCAGGAGACTGGATACAGGGTCCAGGGACCCTCTCTGTACTGTGTCTCACCCCATTACGTGAATTATAGATACTGCAAAATAAACAGGAAAGTTCGACTTTAGAATTACTGAGTGAGGGAGAAGAGGCATGCTTCCGCACATTAAAAGTGTGAAAACTTTCTAGGGATAGTAAAGGAAAAGTCAGCCCACAAGTTCTGGTAGGACCCCTGCTGTCTTGGAGATTGGTGATCAGGAATTTAGAATGCGGCAATCTGCTCTGTTGTGCGAGTTTTCATCACCTGTGCTGTGCCGTCTGGGTATAGAAACAGAGAAAACAGGTGGTGGGGTTTGTTCAGGACAGGGGCATGACAACAAGGTGCAAGAACAATAAGCAACCAAGGACAATTTTTCTCAATCCCTCTGTTCTCTCCATGCTGCTTGGGCTCAGAATCCTGTTTGCACTTCTTATATGGGCCGAGTGTGTGCTCAGGGCCACACGGGTCCTTGGTCTCTGCCACACTGCACTGTCTGCCCTCAGCGACCGGAAACTAGCCTGGGCTCAGTCCTCCCGCCCTGTACTGCTACAGGTGCTGTGGTTAAGGATGAAGATGAAGGGGTCACAGCGACCCAGGTTGCAATGTGGACTGAAGCAGGGAACAGAAATTCTCCTAGTCTCTACTATCTGATTTCATGGTGTAGTGAGAACTAAATGATAAAACACACACACACACACACACACACACACATGAACACAGAGCCAATCATTATTGAGTCAGCCCCCAGTATCTATTGACCCAAAGGGCTTGAATCTGGCCCCACCCCCACTGCCACACATCCCTCCTGGGTGGCCGTTCCCTGATTCAAGTTTTACAACCAGCATCTGCGTAAAACAAAGCCCTGGTTTATAGTGCCTGTGGATCTCCATGGTGTACGTGGCCCGTACAATGTACTAAAGTGACCACACATAAACACACCATAGGCTCTTGTGAGTTGTTAGCAGCAGGTTCCAGCACTGACAGTGGAGCTACCCTGGGCCACAGGTTAAGCCCTGCCTTGGCCCTTTCCTAAGAATTCCTTACTAGCCCATGCCCAAGAGGCCACCCGAACATGATCTGTTAGAAAGCTGCCCCCTTTTCTCTCCCAGGGATGACTCTGGGTAAAGGAGGCAGTAGTGTCATCTCTAGACACAAGAGAATGCCAACAATTCTGATGGACAGAGAAACACAACCTCAATTATAGCCAGGGGTCATCTCATTACTTGGATGGCCAACACTGCCCTCTGGGCTCTTTATACCACTTCTGTTTATCTCACAGTTGCTAGGAGCACCTGTCTGCAACTTTACTTCTCATAAGTTGTCCCAGGTCTTCCCTTTCTACTAAGACCAACATTTCCAAGAACAACAACCAGAAAAACTGCATGAAACAAAAGCATCTGGTTGCAGGTTATTTGGGAGCTACTGAAAGATCCAGGAGTTGAGGGCCACAGTCCCATGGAGAATGGTGTGAGGTGCTTCCCACTGGCAGTAGCCACTTTGGTCTGAAGCAAGGAGCTGAGAAGCCAGCCAGAGAATGGACCAGAAGCCAAGGGAAGATCATTACCCAGGCAGAGCTTTCCACATATCAGAACCAGGGGAACAAAAGGTGGAGTTTGGGCCAATGAAAACATCCAGATCTTTTCAATGGTGATGTTTACTTATTTCAGGGAGCTGGGAGAACTCCCATCCATTGGTTTATTCACCAAATGTCCACAGCAGCCAAGGATGAAGCTGGGAACCAGTATCTCCATCCAAGTCTCCCTTGTGAGTAGAAAAAAAAAAAAAACAATTATTTGAGCCATTATCACTGCCTCCCTGGGTATGCCTTGAAAGGAAGCTGAAGCCAGGAGCCAGAGCCAGCAATCAAAACTAGATACCGTGACATGGGATGTGGGCATTTGAGCCACTAGGCTAACTGCCAGTTTCCAGCATCTAGACCTTGAGGGACCAAAATCCCGGAGAACAGCAGGTCACAGTAAAACACAAGACCAGATGCCAGTTTTCCTACTACAACATTAGGTTAACAGACTAAGACGTAGAGGGGAAGAAAGAATGGGAAAGAGGAGTGCAGGTTTTGGTCATTTTAGTAAGAGGCCAACTTACGGTTCTGAGAATCAGCCATCAGGAGGCGTTGGTAAACGTCGCTGATTTTCACTTGGGATCCCTGGAGGTCCACAGCCTAGGGGTGGAGACGAAGCCAGACTCTTCTAAGGAAGGAAATGCAGACTCGAGACAGGGCCACCCCAAAGATTGAGTTATGACCCTCATGCTATTTCCTGTCTATGATAG